GTGAAATCGAGGGGCAACCCCCCTTTGAAGACGAGGGATTCCTTTACTGCAGTGATCAGCAGTCTCCTCTCTCTCCCCGCCCTCTTTCTCTTTCTCATAGTGTTCTAGTTTCATCATCTTCCCTGTTTTCTGTCATCCTGCCTCCGTTTCCCATTTACCCGTCTGCTATACTTGCTGCCATGTCAGTTACACACTCGCACAAACGCACACACACACACACACACACACAGTCGAGTCACATTTCAGAATAAGGGATTGTCTGCTGCAGGGTACAGTATATGCAGCACATGGTGTCGAGCGCAGGCGCAGTTGTGACTCTCAGCGTTTTTACTCCAGCCTTCATTTATCTCCATCGCTCCCTCGCCGCTCCCCCATTTATCCTCCTCCTCCCTCCCCCTCCGCTCCTGCCACGCCCCCTTCTCTCCTCCTGCATCCATCCATCCGTCTTCAAAGCCCGTTTCTTTGTTTCTTCTCCCCCTCTTAGCCGCGTGACATTGATTCCAAGGTTGCTGTGCTGTTGACTGCTGCTTCGCTCTTAAATATTTTAGGCGGCGTTTCAGTGGCAGCGCGCCGAGGGAAGGGAGGGAGGCTGGAGGCTCTGCTCAGCCGCTCGCCAACTACTGCTGACAAGCAGGCTGGCGAACAGACGGGCGACCACACGTACGTGCACGCAGGCCACCTGCACCCACACGGAGCTGCGTGCACATGTCACTCCGCAGATGGACGTGCACGTGTGCCTGGGCTGTTATTTGCATATGTTACTGATGCAGATGTCACGGTTTGTGTGGGCGTTACAGGGATGTTTTTTTTTCTTACCTCCTGGCGTCAAACATCAAAAGTTAATGAATGAGAAAAGCAGTGCTGGAGTGCTCTTTGCAGACTGTGCATTTATTTCAGACCAGCCGAAAGCCCTTTCTCAGCATGTCACCCGATCAGCAGCCTAATCACTGTTTGGACTCTACTTGGTGCCAAGGGACGGCGATTGGTATTCTTATTTAAAATATAAACACACGGCAGCTGTCCTGCACCAGAGATGCAGTGGTGAACTATTTTGTTCACATTGGGCCGCATACAAGAACCGTTCGTGCGCACAAATTTGTTCTTAAGTTGTGCGTACGAGTGATTTAGGAGAGTTTGYGGCATTCACCAATTTTTTCGTATTCTAAGATTTTCTTCAGATACGAACAAAATTCATGGGTGGTCCAGACCTGTCGTATATTTTACGAGCAGTCAGT